TCTGCTGTGGATGACCTTGTAAACATGCTTTGTGCAATTGGCGTTCAAAAGCTGTCGGCACATGAAATCATCAAGGTGCATATATTACCAGCCTTTGAGGCGAAAAGTAGAGCTACACTGGAGGGTCTGATGGTAGATTACTTATGCTTTGTGATGACACATCTACGATCTGGCTGCCATGTGTGTCATAATGAGAGGAAGTACATTATTTCTGAGTTAAGAAGCAAAGCTCTGATATTATCGAATTATGGGTTGAAACAGCTAGCTGAGGCGTCGATTCATTTCGGTGAAGAATTTGGAAACCAGGTTAACATGAAGAAGCTTACCAAGAACTTGGATATAACGTGGCATGTGGTTGATGGTACCTACTTGAAACATCCAGCATCAAAATATTATGCATGCGGGTTGAAGGAGTGGCGGGAATTTTTCCAAGAGATAGGGATAGTTGATTTTGTTCAAGTGGTTCAAGTTGAAAAGAGCATTGCTGAATTCTATTCTGTTTCACGTTGTGAAAAGTTTGATACGACCTTGTTACCTCCCGAGTTAGCTGTTAGAGACTGGGAATCCCCGGAACTAGTTGATCTCTTGTCTCTTTTGCACAAAAGTAATGGCCGCAAAGGTTGCAAGTACCTTTTGGAAGTCCTGGATAGATTGTGGGATGATTGCTACCATGACAAAACAACTGTTACTTTTAATTCCGGTGGGGATGGTGTCATCAGATCGTCACAATCTTCATTTCTGAGGCCAATTTGTGAATCTCAATGGATAGTTTCATGCATGGACGACGAATTGCATCTTGCGAAAGACCTCTATCATGATTGTGATGATGTGCGATCAATACTTGGCATGAATGCGCCGTATGCAGTTCCGAAGGTTGGTTTGGTCCTGTCTTACGAATATTATATTGTGTTTGTTTATAACTATTAGTCCTATTGAGTGTTTTATATTGGGGCTATAAAAATATGTGGTCTGAAACTTAGCTAGAGGTATTATTTAAATATCTTGAACCTTGATAGATGTGATTACCACCATATAGACCTCCTACACTGTCTATATCTTCCTTAGCGGTGGAGCGCTTTCATCTATTTGCTTAACCCTTTTTTCGTCCTCTCTAATTGGGTAACTTGGGTTACTGTGGAACAGGTTACAAGTGTCAAGTTACTTAATGATATTGGTTTCAAGACCAAAGTTTGCCTCGATGATGCTTTGGAAATCCTAGAAGCTTGGGTACACTGTGGAGATTCTTTCAAATCAAGGTACAACTCTATGGTTTTGGAGCAGTTTCAACTTTGTTTTTTTTTCTTTTCTGCACTGCCTTTATATATTTATTTCAACTACATTCCATGAGCTTCTCAAGTACTACATACTTCAGTTTAGAACGAGCTGTTTTTGTCTTCTATATTAGTCACATATTTGTTTTTCCACCCGTATCCTTGTGTGAACTCCAAAACTTATGATAATGACGCAAGACTTCCAGTTCTTTGTTGATGCATTTTCTAACAGTGTAACACTGTCTTTAAATTTACAGCATCTCTCAGGTTACCAGATTTTACAAATTTTTGTGGAATGAAATGGCTGATTCGAAGCAGAAAATTACTGAAAAGCTCCATGCTTTCCCTTCTGTATTTGTGCCACACAAAATTGGAAGTAGGCAGAATGATATAATATCCGGAATATTCTTGTCACTTGATGATGTTTACTGGAATGATTCTGCTGGCGTTTTAGAAGAGATAAAAGAGATCAGTTCGCAGATCAGCAGTGTTGTGGAATCATTGCATAGAAAAACATTGTGCAATATCTATCCAGGTCTCCATGACTTTTTTGTGAATGGGTGTGGAGTACCTGAGACGCCTTCTTTCCAAGAGTACCTTAAAATTCTGGGGCAATTCGCACACTATGTGTCGCCCTCATGTGCTGCCAAGGCTGTAAGTTATTTACTTAGCTAAGTCAGTCTCGTTCTGTTTATATTTTGTCTATATTCTTCTTTGCTAAAGTGTTAAGTTCATGTTCTAGGTCTCCAAAATTTTCCTGAAGTGGAGTGATGACTTGAAATCTGGAAAATCTACTGAAGATGTTGTTCATTTTAAAGAGAGACTTTCAGAACTCGAATACGCTGTGCTTCCTACTGAAAGTGATAAGTGGGTTTCCTTACACTCCTCGTTCGGTCTCGTATGCTGGTGTGATGATGAGAAGTTAAAGAAGAGATTCAAAAAGAAGGATAATATTCAGTTTATTTACTTTGGGGAAAATGCTGACGAAGAGCAAGAAGTGCTTCAAACAAAAGTATCTGTGCTGATGCACAGCTTGGGCATTCCAAGTATTTCTGAGGTAACTAATCCTCTCCTTGCACCAAAATATATTGAATATGCAAGCACTTATATATGTAAAAGGTTCTAGGTGACATTGAAATTTATCTGAACCGCAAGAGTAAGCCTTTCTTGAATTTTGTCTATGCACTTACTCCAAAAGCATCTGCATCATCTTGTAGCTTTAATATGTACTAGGGTAGAACTTATACATGTGTCTCCGTTTCTGTTATAAAACACTAGTGTCCATGGCCTCACCTCCAATTCATTCTGAGAAGCTAATGTGTTTTTTTTCTTTTCCAGGTGGTAAAGCGTGAAGCGATATATGAAGGTTTGCAAGATAATAGTGTAACAGTGTCACTTGTGAACTGGTCTCTTCCTTATGCGCAGCGATATCTCTTTACTCTACATCATGAGAAGTATAACCAAACAAAAAAGACTGTTTATAGTCAAGTCAAGCGTCTACAAGTCTTTGTTGTTGAGAAGTTATGCTATAAAAATGTCATACCGCAATATGACATTAGCTCTAAAAAGGAGTTTGAATGCAGCTCTCTTCTGCAGGTATGTCTTCTTTCGTTTATGTGTATTGCAATAGTGTATACAATATATTTTTGGTTGATAGGGCTGTGACATTTGGCTTTGACGCTACTAGAAACTCCTCTCTGTTGAAGTAGATCTTTGCTTTTGATCAAACAGCAATGTGATACTCCAATTCGATGCAAACTCCTATATATCTGTGGTGAAAGATTTATTGGAAATGTGTTCTCTTTACTGATATATCATATGTTTTGATCTTGTTGTCTCCAGGATAAATCTCTGTACACAACACCGTGTCTGGATTCCCATTCCTTGTTCATGGAACTGTCTCGTTTATTTTTCAACGGAGTTCCTGATCTGCATTTGGCGAATTTCCTTCACTTGATCAAAACAATGGCAGAATCTGGTATGGGCGAGGAGCAAATGGAATCATTCATTTTGAACAGTCAAAAAGTTCAGAAGATTCCTGATGATGAGGAGATCTGGTCCCTCAAATCTGCTCTTAAAGCCAAGAAGAAAGCTGGAATAAGCTTGAGCTGGGTACCTTCAACTTCCAAACCACGCCACGGTTCTAACGAGCCTCACATTGATGACTCTAAACAAGAACTGGCCTCCGGTCATGTTAGTAGTAGCGAAGAGAATGTAACAGAGGCGCTTGAGGAACAAGTATCGACTGGTACAAACTTGGCTGCTGGATATGATAACAGTGCAGGCACAAGTTCACTAGCTATCCAGCCAAACCCATTGCATTCTTTGCAAATGAAGACTGGCTCAGCCTCAGGGAATCAACCTTCTTTTAACTTCAATCCAAACCTTCTTCATGATTGGAACAACTCCGTCTCAGCTAACTTCAGCGAAAGAGATCAACTTCATACAGGCACACCTTGGGCTGCACAGGCACAACAGACAGGTAGAAAAGGCGAAGAAATCGCTTACAGATACTTCTTGGCAACACACAGTAAGGAGGCTAACGTTAGATGGGTTAACGAGCATAGCGAAACCGGTTTACCTTACGACCTATTGCTCGAATACCCTGGTGGTAAGCTAGAGTACGTGGAGGTGAAAGCAACAGTGTCTACGCGGAAAGATTACTTCAACTTGACAGTGAGGGAATGGCAATTTGCAAATGAGAAATGTGAGGGTTACATAATTGCTCATGTTTTGTTGGGAAACAGTAATGCAATCCTTACACAGCATAGGAACCCTGTCAAGTTGTGCCAAGAAGGTCTTCTCCGGTTATTGATTCTCATGCCTAACCAGCGAAACGAGGTCAATGTTGCGTTTTAAAACCCAGTTAGTTTTCTTTTGGTTTTTGTTTATACTAGATGAGGCTTATTGTTTAACAAAGGTACAAACATCAGTTTAGTTCTTATTTTTGTAGCAATGCAGTGATAATATTCATAAGATTCGAAATTGATCAAATGTGAATTGCTTCCTTCATGAATATGCGAAGATTAAGTTATAAAGATGATAGAGATCAACGACTGCCTCTTTATGGAAAGAATACACTTATTGTTTATCATCAGATACGTAATTGATTTATTTCAGTTGAGTAACTACATGAGTTGCAATTATATACATGAGTTTGGTTAGTTCGGTTCGTTTTTCTCACACCTAACAGTCACTTCCACACTTTCTGGGGAACAAGCATGTGATGCTGCGACTTGTGCATAGCAAAACCAGTCATAACATCCATATTGATGTCTTCTGATTTCATTCCATTTGCAAGTTTGAAGTCGAAGTTGAGCAAAAGATTCGCGTAAGGAACCTCGAGCATCGCCGCACCAAGACGCATTCCCGGGCACATTCTTCTGCCTGACCCGAACGGTATAAACTCATAATCCGTGCCTTTGAAGTCAACGTCCTTCTCAAGAAACCTCTCGGGCCTGAACTCGTCTGCGTCGTGTCCCCACTCCTTCTCGTCACGTGACACGGCCCACACGTTGACGTTGACCGTGGTCCCCGCCGGAATGTCGTAGCCGGCGATCTTGGTATCTTGAATGCAAGAACGAGGGATAAGAAGAGGAATCACCGGTTCGATCCTTAGGGTTTCTTTAACCAATGCTCTGAAGTAAGGAAGGTTCTTGATATCGTCTTCGGTGACGAACGTTAACCCTCTCTCTCTCATATATTCTCTCACTTCTGCTTGAGCTTTCTTCATCACTTTAGGATACTTCATTAAGTACGTCATCCCCCACACAACCCCCGCAGCTGCCGTCTCCGTTCCCCCTGTTATGATATCCTTTTCAAACGCAAAATGAAAACCATCTAGAAGAGTGAAACACAAGCAAACGATTGCTTGTAGAGAAAGCAACGATTCAAAACATAAAAGAGAAATATTATACGTACCAAAATTACGGCTTTGACATTTTCTATAGTAAAATCGGAGGCTAAAGGTTGATCTTTGTAAATATCCATCAAAAGATCGATCATGCTCTCCGTTTCGGGCTTGACCCTGTTGGGATCAAGCGTCTCATCGATAATCTCTTGTAGATAAGTGTCTTGTCTTTCAAAACACTCATTCATATAAGCCGTGAGGCCTGTTAAATCATCGAGAACGTAGCCAGTAAAGGGGAAAATATCAGAGAAATAAATCTTGCCCAAAACGTTTTGAATCCCATAAACAATCTTGATGAACCTCTTCATCTCCTCCCCATCTTCATTGTACTTCTTCCCGAACGCTTGCCTACACACAACCGAGTTCCCTAAGGTCATCATAAGCTCGCTTACATCCACTGCCTCTGACTTCTCCGCGGCCTTGTTGATCTTAACCATCATTCTCGTAACCTCCTCCTCCCGCACGTGCTTAAAGGTGGCGACACGCGTGGGTGAGAACAAGTGGTTCATGGCCATCTTCCTTATCTCCCGGTAATAAGGTGTGTAGTGGCTCAATACCATGTCACGCCGGCCATAGGATATGACCTCGTGGCTCCGGTGCTGAGGCCGGTCGGTGAAGTTGACATCTTGCATCTTGAGAAGCTCTTTGGTTAGCTCAGCCGAAGATATCACCACCATTGTTCTGCTACCTATCTTGTATGATAAGATTGGTCCATATTTTCGGGCCCATCCATAGAAGAAGCGTTGTGGGTTAAGTTTCTGAAGCTGGTGGAGGTTTCCGATCACCGGAAGCGCCGTTGGTCCAGGAGGCAGCTTGTACCGTTTGGTTTTTAGATTTTGGTAGAGGAAGAAGAGGAGAACCACGGCAAGAGCCACCACGCCGACGATAATATCTGTCATTCTTAGTTGTTACATAAACCACACAGTTTCTTCATGTATTAGCCAAACCAAAACAGATACTATAACCGAAATCCAACTTTATATTCAAATGTATATTCCCTTGCCTACTTCTGCTTACGTGTTCGAATTGGAAAACACCTCCACCTACCCGTAAGAAAAGATAAAGCTTCGTTCATTGAGTGGCTTAAACGAAGCCAGGACCAACGCATTCTACTTTTGTAGTATAGCGTTTGTCAACTGTCAGAAAAGTATTCAATAATTAAAAACACTGCTAAAATTAAGACAAAAAGACACAAAATAGTGGAGAGACAGAAAAGTGAACTTGAGAGGAAAGAAGATCAATGAAGATAAAAAGAGACTTAATGAGTGATCAAAAAGTTTCGATGATAGGCGGCCTCTCCCACACGACTCTATTATCTCAAAAGGTATGGTAATGAGCTTCCAGCTTTTGATAAATTATTTTTGTAATGTATTGTTATGTACAAGGCCTAAGTTTTAATCTTTGTTCATAGTTGTGTTCGTGAAAGATAAAACAGAAGAGATAATCTTTGTTCTTCGTTTTCTTACTCTGTTGGTAACCAATCCTGATTATAACAGTTGTATATATACTGTGTGTCTGTAAACTTTATTGTGGTGAATAATTTATTGGAACTTTTCCACGGTCATCTCCGGTTATTTATTCTCATGGTCAACCAGCAAAACAAGGTCAATGAAGCATTATAAAACCCAACAAGATTCTTACGTTTACTTCTTTACTGGATGAGGTTTATTTTGTAGTAAAGATTTTCAATATATAGTTATATTATTGAACAATCCAGTAATATTATAAGACACCAAAATACATCAATATTGATTGCTTCCTACATGAAAATGTGAATAGAAAGATTATAGAGATAAGAGACGATTATCTCTTAGAGTGTAAAGAAAACAAAGCTTGAAGCAGAGTACATATACCAAACAACCAGAGTGATAGCTGGAATTATCAATTGTACACTTTTTCTGGGACAAGCTTGAGATGGTCGGACTTGTGCATAGCGAGACCAGTCATGACATCCATATTGATATCTTCTGGTTTCATTCCATTAGGAAGTTTGAAGTTGAAGTTGAGCAGAAGGTTCGCGTATGGAACCTCAAGCATCGCTGTGCCAAGGCGCATTCCAGGGCACATCCTCCGACCCGACCCGAACGGTAAAAACTCGTAGTCCGTGCCTTTGAAGTCAACGTCCTTCTCAAGAAACCTCTCCGGTCTAAACTCGTCAGGGTTTGGGCCCCATTCCTTCTCATCACGTGATAGGGACCACGCGTTGACGTTGATTGTAGTCCCCGCAGGGATGTCGTAGCCAGCAATCTTGGTGTCTTTAATGCAACAACGAGGGATAAGGAGAGGAATCACAGGTTCGATCCTTAGGGTTTCTTTAACCAAGGCTTTAAAGTAAGGAAGGTTCTTGACGTCGTCTTCAGTTACAAACGTTGACCCTTTCTCTCTCACATAATCTCTCACTTCGTCTTGAGCTTTCTTCATCACTTTAGGGTACTTCATTAGATACGTCATCCCCCAGACAACCGCCGCAGCTGCCGTATCCGTTCCCGCCACTACGATATCCTTTTTCAAACACAAAACAAAAAGAAGAGTGAGACACAAGCAAACGTTTACTTGTAGTGCAAGAAAATGGATCAAAAGCGTACGAGGATCACGGCTTTGACATTCTCGATAGTGAACTCGGTGGCGAAAGATTGATCTTTGTAGATCTCCATCAAGAGGTCGATCATGCTATCGGTTTCGGGCTTGACCCTGTTGGGATCAAGCGTCTCATTGACAACCTCTTGCAGATAATTGTCTTGTCTTTCGAAACACTCTTTCATATAAGTCGTTTGGCTTGTCAAATCATCGAGAATGTAGCGAGTGTAGGGGAAAAAGTCAGAGAAAAAAATCTTTCCCAAAACGCTCTGAGTGCCATAGAGAATCTGGATGAACCTCTTCATCTCCTCTCCATCTTCATTGTACTTCTTCCCGAACGCTTGTCTACACACAACCGAGTTTGTGAACGTCAACATAAGCTCGCTTATATCGACTGCTTCGGATTTCTCCCCCGCCTTTTCGATCTTAGCCATCATCCTCTTAGCCTCCTCCTCCCGCACGTGCTTAAAGGTGGCGACACGTGAGGGTGAGAACAAGTGGTTCATGCCCATCTTCCTTATCTCCCGGTAATAAGGTGTGAAGTGGCCCATTCCCAGGTTGCGCCTGCCATAGGATATGACCTCGTGGCCACGGTGTGGAGGCCGGTCCGCAAAGTTAACATCTTGCGTCTTGAGAAGCTCTTTGGCTAGGTCAGCCGAAGATATTATCACCATTGTTCTGCTTCCTATCTTGTATGATAAGATTGGACCGTATTTTTTGGCCCATTCATAGAAGGAGCGTTGTGGGTTTTGTTTTGGAAGCTGGTGGAGGTTTCCGATCACCGGAAGCGCCTTTGGACCCGGAGGCAGCTTGTACCGTTTGGTTCTTGGCTTTTGGTAGAGGAAGAAGAGAAGAACCACGGCGAGAGCCACCACGCCGATAATAATATCTTTCATTCTTATTAGTCGTTACTACTTTTTACGTTCTAGGTAAAAAACAACACCTTTACTTTATAAATAGTATTATAAAATTTGCGTTTATTTTTCTTGTAACCGAAATCACATTTTATATCCAAATGCATATTCCCTTACCTACTTGTCCGAACGTGTTAGAATTGGAAAACACCTTCACCTACCCGTAAGCAAAGAAACAAACTTCGTTCATTGAGTGGACTTAAACGTTGCCACCTGTCAGAACTTTATTTCATACATAAACTTGCAGAACATTGAGCTTTGGTTGCATTTTTAATTTGGTGGCATTTTTTAGCTCGAAGCGTAAACACAAGAGGAAAGAAGTGTTTTAGAGTTCAAATGAAAGGGGCTTTATTTTTGAGGTATCTAATCTTCTGCTTGCGCAATGATACATTGGATATTCAAACACTAATTAGGTTATGCAGATCAGATGGCCCGCCCTAGTGCATTTGTGGCATAAA